CGATTAAATTCGATTCCAATCACAACGAAATGAACAGAAACCGCGCTGAAAATGTTTCGAAAAGTCGGTAAACCGGTAAACGGTACGAATCGGTTTCCAGTCTAGCAATTAAATTTGCTGTATATATGACCCATGCGACTGAAATAATCAACTTTACTACAGACTACTTTCAGTGTCGCTGAGATGAAATAGCCTGTGAATTTTTAAAATTGTTTTCAATGATAGGAGAAAGCAAACAGATTATGTGTAGACATTTACAGTACATTAAAACTTTAGCAGTTCCTATGGCAAGTTAAAAATAATAATAATAGTAACAATAATAATAATACACGCTAGACAATATTATTTAACGTGTGGTAGAGCCGACATCTTACCATTTTGCTATGTCAAGCATTATAACACTGCACTATGATCATGCTCTTGGTTGAAAATTCTTCTTTATATTTCAGTGCGAGATTTAAGGAGTTGTTCAAATTTGTTGAAATGTAACAGCAAGACGTCATCACTTGTTTGTTAGGAGGTAAGGTATAGCGTATAAGTTGATGGGAAGAAAATTAACAGGTCTTAGCAACAATATTTTGTAAATGGTATTTGACGTCATTGTTGACGTGCCTTTTAAGAGAGAACGTAGTAGTACTTGTTTTTTAGGAGTCCCTATGACGTCAGCTGTCAATTTAACTACTACATTTGCGCAGAATAAGAGGATGAAATCTGATGCAATCGAGATATAATTAAAAAATCCCCCGTGAGAACGTACACAGTAAACAAGTTGAGCATACAAGAATATTCTAGAAGCAGAAAAAGTGAGAAGAAAACAGATAACTAGCATTCCAGTTTCCCAGTACAAATAACGAGTAACAAAGCACTTTTGCAGCGTTCAGTCTACAAGACTTAGAAATACGAGGGACTAGTAATAATGACCCTCAAAGAGAATTTCAGTTATAGAGACGTCAGCTTAACACTAGAAGGAGAGGAGCCAGTCACATATAGCCTCGAAGACAGACACTGGGGAAGAGACATGAAACAAGACATCGAGTTACAAAGACGAGACACAAGATACCTGGATCTATTGTCAACAGAGGCACATTAGGTAGGAACACTGCTGAGATGTTATTGTCGACGATCCAACCGTTAGTACCAAACAACACTAGAAGCCAGGTGGCATTTACGGACACTAGAACTAGCTAGTAAAGTAACTAGAGGTTAAGAACACAACGCGACCTCAAGAGTATGTAACCATAAAGAAAACACAGTTCTTTTCAGAATATCTTTGTTGTTGTTTGTGACATTGCTGAAGTATCACAATAAAGACAGTATAGAAAAGAAAAGTTGTTTCCAGACATTTATTATACAAGTATCAGAGTTACGTGAGAAGCACGCAGGTAGCAAAACATCATCATCATCACTATCGACACGACCATCTTTCTCCTCGTCTATAATCTTCCAAATCAACTCCACCTGTAGCAAAACTAAAAACAAACCTGGGTGTGACATCGACGTATTCAACGAAGAACACAGCTGTGCTACAGAAAGTTGACATATTTATGTACATTCGGACACACATTAAAATATGTAACTGAAATAAATGCAATTACCTTCTACAATTTTTTTTTTCTAAACTGCAGGCATTTGTTTTCCCATAGACAGATATCCAGGAAATAACTTCAAATACTTAATGAAACTTCACAGCAGCGTGTACCGGAAAATAAATACCGGTAACGGATGTTAAAATTCGAATTTGAGGAATGCGTCCCGAATAGTGTGCATCTACGAAAGTGGCTTACATAAAATGTCATTGATGATGATGTTTCGCTGGAAAAAAATGAAAACATTTGCATTCAATTTAATTCAATTCCACTCACAAGGACATGCATGGAAACTGCGCGTGAAATGTTTTGAAAAGCGGGTAAACTATCTGAATCATGTGTCGAAACGAATCCCGCGCTACCAATTGTGTGCGCAACGACACGAGCGCCACCCATTGTGAAATGGTTGTTTGCCTGACGCCTCCACCAAAATAAAATTAGCATTTTTTTTTTTTTTAAATCGTTTCCAAAATTTTCATCGCGCATATTTTAAACTACGACAGGTAGCGTCCTGACATTAAAACAAACATGTCATCTCAATTTCAGCTAAACCGGTTCAGTAGTTTCCGAGTTTATACGACACAGCCACACATTGATTTTTATTTATATAGACGTATGTATGCATGACTCTATGTTTGTTTGTATACGTATGTATGTATGTATGTATGTATGTATGTATGTATGTATGTATGTATGTATGTATGTATGTATGTATGTATGTATGTATGTATGTATGTATGTATGTATGTATGTATGTATGTATGTATGTATGTATGTATGTATGTATGTATGTATGTATGTATGTATGTATGTATGTATGTATGTATGTATGTATGTATGTATGTATGTATGTATGTATGTATGTATGTATGTATGTATGTATGTATGTATGTATGTATGTATGTATGTATGTA